ATCCCCCGACCTCAACCAAATTGAGATGGTTTGGGATGAGTCGGACCGCAGAGTGAAGGAAAAGCAGCCAACAAGTGCTCAGCATATGTGGGAACTCCTTCAAGACTGTTGGAAAAGCATTCCAGGTGAAGCTGGTTGGGAGAATGCCAAGAGTGTGCAAAGCTGTCATCAAGGTAAAGGGTGGCTATTTGAAGAATATCAAATATACACTGCTCAAAAAAATAAAGGGAACACTAAAATAACACATCCTAGATCTGAATGAATGAAATAATCTTATTAAATACTTTTTTCTTTACATAGTTGAATGTGCTGACAACAAAATCACACAAAAATTATCAATGGAAATCTAATTTATCAACCCATGGAGGTCTGGATTTGGAGTCACACTCAAAATTAAAGTGGAAAACCACACTACAGGCTGATCCAACTTTGATGTAATGTCCTTAAAACAAGTCAAAATGAGGCTCAGTAGTGTGTGTGGCCTCCACGTGCCTGTATGACCTCCCTACAACGCCTGGGCATGCTCCTGATGAGGTGGCGGATGGTCTCCTGAGGGATCTCCTCCCAGACCTGGACTAAAGCATCCGCAAACTCCTGGACAGTCTGTGGTGCAACGTGGCGTTGGTGGATGGAGCGAGACATGATGTCCCAGATGTGCTCAATTGGATTCAGGTCTGGGGAACGGGCGGGCTAGTCCATAGCATCAATGCCTTCCTCTTGCAGGAACTGCTGACACACTCCAGCCACATGAGGTCTAGCATTGTCTTGCATTAGGAGGAACCCAGGGCTAACCGCACCAGCATATGGTCTCACAAGGGGTCTGAGGATTCGACAACGATGAGACAGCCTATAGAGAGGAGGTCAGTGACCTGGCCGTGTGGTGCCAGGATAACAACCTCTCCCTCAACGTGATCAAGACAAAGGAGATGATTGTGGACTACAGGAAAAAGAGGACCTAGCACACCCCCATTCTCATCGACGGGGCTGTAGTGGAACAGGTTGAGATCTTCAAGTTCTTTGGTGTCCACATCACCAACAAACTATCATGGTCCAAACACACCAAGACAGTCGTGAAGAGGGCACAACAAAGCCTATTCCCCCTCAGGAGACTGAAAAGATTTGGCATGGGTCCTCAGATCCTCAAAACGTTCTACAGCTGCACCATCGAGAGCATCCTGACTGGTTGCATCACCGCCTGGTATGGCAACTGCTCGGCCTCCGACCGCAAGGCACTACAGAGGGTAGTGCGTACGGCCCAGTAAATGGTAGGTTTATTTGAACAGTGAGAGACAGAATAACAACAAAAAAATCCAGAAAAACGCATGTCAAAAATGTTATAAATTGATTTGCATTTTAATGAGGGAAATAAGTATTTGACCCCCTCTCAATTAGAAATATTTCTGGCTCCCAGGTGTCTTTTATACATGTAACGAGCTGAGATTAGAAGCACACTCTTAAAGGGAATGCTCCTAATCTCAGTTTGGTACCTGTATAAAAGACACCTGTCCAAAGAAGCAATCAATCAGATTCCAAACTCTCCACCATGGCCAAGACCAAAGAGCTCTCCAAGGATGTCAGGGACAAGATTGTAGACCTACACAAGGCTGGAATGGGCTACAAGACCATCGCCAAGCAGCTTGGTGAGAAGGTGACAACAGTTGGTGCGATTATTCGCAAATGGAAGAAACACAAAAGAACTGTCAATCTCCCTCGGCCTGGGGCTCCATGCAAGATCTCACCTCGTGGAGTTGCAATGATCATGAGAACGATGAGGAATCAGCCCAGAACTACACGGGAGGATCTTGTCAATGATCTCAAGGCAGCTGGGACCATAGTCACCAAGAAAACAATTGGTAACACACTATGCCGTGAAGGACTGAAATCCTGCAGCGCCCGCAAGGTCCCCCTGCTCAAGAAAGCACATATACAGGGCCATCTGAAGTTTGCCAATGAACATCTGAATGATTCAGAGGAGAACTGGGTGAAAGTGTTGTGGTCTGATGAGACCAAAATGGAGCTCTTTGGCATCAACTCAACTCGCCGTGTTTGGAGGAGGAGGAATGCTGCCTATGACCCCAAGAACACCATCCCCACCGTCAAACATGGAGGTGCAAACATTATGCTTTGGGGGTGTTTTTCTGCTAAGGGGACAGGACAACTTCACCACATCAAAGGGACGATGGACGGGGCCATGTACCGTCAAATCTTGGGTGAGAACCTTCTTCCTCAGCCAGGGCATTGAAAATGGGTCGTGGATGGGTATTCTAGCATGACAATGACCCAAAACACACAGCCAAGGCAACAAAGGAGTGGCTCAAGAAGAAGCACATTAAGGTCCTGGAGTGGCCTAGCCAGTCTCCAGACCGTAATCCCATAGAAAATCTGTGGAGGGAGCTGAAGGTTCGAGTTGCCAAATGTCAGGCTCGAAACCTTAATGACTTGGAGAAGATCTGCAAAGAGGAGTGGGACTAAATCCCTCCTGAGATGTGTGCAAACCTGGTGGCCAACTACAAGAAACGTCTGACCTCTGTGATTGCCAACAAGTGTTTTTCCACCAAGTACTAAGTCATATTTTGCAGAGGGGTCAAATACTTATTTCCCTCATTAAAATGCAAATCAATTTATACAATTTTTGACATGCGTTTTCCTGGATTTTGTTGTTGTTATTCTGTTTCTCACTGTTCAAATAAACCTACCATTAAAATTATAGACTGATCATGTCTTTGTCAGTGGGCAAACGTACAAAATCAGCAGGGGATCAAATACTTTTTTCCCTCACTGTACCAGGCGGTGTCAGAGGAAGGCCCTAAAAATTGTCAGACTCCAGCCACCCTAGTCATAGACTGTTCTCTCTGCTACCGCACGGCAAGCGGTACCGGAACTCCAAGTCTAGGTCCAAAAGGCTTTTTAACAGCCATAAGACTCCTGAACAGCTAATCAAATGGCTACCCAGACTATTTGCATTGTTCCCCCCCACCCCCTCTTTACGCTGCTTCTACTCTGTTTATTATCTATTCATCGTCCCTTTAACTCTACCTACATGTACATATTACATCGACTAACCGGTGCCCCCGCACATTGACTCTGTACGGGTACCCCTTGTATATAGCCTTGCTACCATTATTTTACTGCTGCTCTTTAATTATTTTTTTTATGATGTATTTTTTATTTAACACATTTCTCTTAAAATTGCAGTGTTGGTTAAGGGCTTATAAGTAAGCATTTCACGGTAAGGTCTACACCTGTTGTATTCGGCACGTGACAAATAAATTTTGATTTGATCAGTGTCTAGGGGCTCAGCCTCCAGCTAGTGACTTGACTGAGAAATCCATAATCAAATCCTCCTCCTGGAGAGCCCTACTGCGTTAATTTGTTCCAGACCTAATATAAGACAACTGCTTCTATGAATATGTATAGTGTATTCTGCTAATCAGACCCGCCGGAACCACAGGCGGGTGCAAAAACCTGCAAACTGTGCCAAACCAAGCTGGGCTAGTCTGATATAAGACATTTTCCCACAACTGTGCTCAGGGCTTGCTAGTGGCTTTTCTATTTCCACTTTTGCCAGAGGCACTTGATTGGTAATTATAATCAAGCGTATAGCAAAGCCAACTCCTACAATCCTTGATTGCGCCAAATGAAGAAAGGGGTATGGCCAAAAAGCAGTGTGGTGACCTGATAGTTAACAACATAGGGCCAGCACAGTAGTTTGTCAGCCTCAGTGTGAATCAGGCAATATTTTCATTTCACATTGTCCTTTTCATCATTTGGGAAACTTACCCCAGCTCAGTGTGGCTCAGTAGTGTAAAAAGCCCTCAAGTACCCTTATTCCAGCCTTATTACTGACTGAAACAGTCAACTGTAAAGCTGACCACAGTGATAACTGTCAATAATAACGAGGACCGTTAAATCGTGTGTTCATTATCTTTATTCAAATTATAAGGTTGCGGAGATGTTCAGCAGCGCAAGTCATCTTTTTGAATGCCACTTGGCCTAAGAAGCTAAATGACTGTTTAATTACTTTTAGGAATCTAATTTATAATCTAGCAAATAAAAATGTCTTGATACCATAGTCATTTTGAGTAGCTACAGATGTCACATTATCTGGTGTACAGATAATGTGTCCATTACGGTAAAGCCCAATACAAACCGGCCCATAGATTTTTCAACTAACCTGTTCTTCACGATACTTTCTTCGTTCTCGATTAGGCTAAAAAAATTATCTTAAAAAAAGTCTGTTTCCAGTTGCAGGTGGTTCTACAAAAACTATAGAAAATTCAGAAAGATATTAAATTCATATTTTATGTCAAGTGAGATGCCTCTTGCATGTGTGTAGAGCTTTGTTTTGGTCACACTGTAGAAACAACTAGTTCCTGCAAAGGTGCTGGGAAATGCTAGATATGCGGCAGTTAAGATGGTGAGGAACCACTTCACGTGGTACAAAACATGAATTTAATATCTTTGCGTTTGCTGGTTTTTGTAGAACCAACTGGAAACGGACATTCATATAAACACATTTTTTTGCACCGAACCGAGAATGAATAAAGTGTAGAAAGAACAGGTTAGTTGAAAAGTCTATGGCGTCAGTTTGTATGGGGCTTCCTATAATGGACAACAAAAATATATTTGGTTATATCACATCATCTTGCGTACAATCTGTAGCTACGTCGGTCAAATAGTATTCTACTGCAGTTCTAAAAAATGTCAAGTTTTACATGTCTTAAAAGATTTTATGGCACATTTTGGTCCATGTTGGTACTTTCATATTTCATTCACTTTAAACATGTATTAAAACAAACAAACTACATTTTTAAACATGTATTGTAAATGTTTATCAGCACAGCATTATGACAGCATTTTCTAAACTGCAGAGGGGATCTTGCTCTCTTATTTTGTAGGTCTCCTATACCATTATATTCCGTAGAATGCATTTATTAAACCCCTCTTGTACAGTATATTCAAATCTAGATGTGGAGTACTTGAAGGATGGCTTCAAACATTTACAAGAAGTAGTCAGGGGTGCGTCTAGTCACATGAGGCTCTCCGCGCCGAGGAGCCGGGTCGAACTGTAGGCTGAAGGGGATTGAGGAAAATGTACGGTCAGATGATTGCCCAGAAGGGTTGAGCAACAGAAAACCAGACACATTGGATGACTGATCTACCCAATTTGAACAGTAGGAAAGTCACTAGAAATTCTCATACTTACAAAGAATATTTGAGAGTATCATCCAGCTCCATGATGGCTGCCTGGTTGCCACAGCGATAGCAGTAGTTTGGTGCACTGAAAATGGTGACAACGTTTTTGTCATGGCCCCAGTTGTATCCCTGAAGAAAAACAATTAAGAAAGCCAGTCGTGTAAGGTATTGTTTGCACCCTCGTATAATATCCAATCCTAACGATGTGGAGGTCTCCAAACATCCCTGGTAATAACAATGACAAAGCAATACTTTCAAGTCGCTATTCACGTCATAAACAAGTACAATGGCCACCGTGGGGAAAACAAAGGCCGTTCGCCATCTGCGCCCATTAAATTTAGCCTATATGTGCAGATTCATTACTTCTAAACAAATAGTTTTTTGGGTTGTCATACGCTTACAATGTTTTGATTATTGCTTGAATGGTCGCTAAGATAATATTTGGTTGTCATCGTTGCAAAATACCTATTTTGAATGCAGCAGTTGTTAGCTAGAATGCTAAAGCTTATTGACAGACTGTAGCAAAATAACCTTTCTGGTTGAAGTATAATGCAGTTGATTTGCGATGACAAACATTACGCAGGACATTCATAGGAGCCTTACAAACCAATCATAATCCCAAAGTAGTGCAAAATGCACTCATAAGCAACATATAAATGGGTGCTTTTTTGCTGGCAGTCTGAGAACTCCTGTGTTTTCCCCCAAGGTGGGGAAATTGTGAATACTGACTCAGTATTATACAACTTTGATTTAAAAAAATTAAAAGCAGATGAACAAACTACATTTTACCTCCATAACCAACTGGTGGGCACGGGACACAAGGGTGAGCCCGTTGGCATGGTTGAAGGTTTCAGAGATGTCTTGACCAAAGGTGTAGCCAGCACCTCTTGGGGAGATGCCCCAGCCACCGCGGTCATCTGGGTCTGACCACAGAAGGTCACACATTGGACCCTAAAATAAAAAGGAACACAGTTAGTGTTGATGCTACATGAAAGACTCTCTGCCTAACATTTAGAATGACACCTATGCTCTCTGTGCAACAGGATATATCTACCTCGTGTGGGACCTCCTGCAAGCGGTCCAGAGCCCGTATGTGATCAAGAGTGTCTATTGAAGGAGAGAGGCCTCCATGTAGGCAGAAGATCTGGCAATATATAAGTACAGTTTGGATTAGAAATTAGCAGTTAGTGTGGAGGATTTAAATAGAACATACTCACTTCCATTAAACATTGACTTTTCAAATATAGAGTTGTTGAAACTGAACAAATACAACACAGGTTTAACAGGGAAAATCAAACCAAAAATACCTGTTCATCTACAAGTGCAGTTAGTGGGAGATAGTCAAACAGGTCTGTGAAGGATTTCCACACGTTGGCATTGCCGTATTTCCTCAAGCACTCGTCATAGAAGCCATACACCTGTGTGATTTGCCTGCTTTCGTGGTTTCCTCGCAGAATTGTGATTCGTTCTTGGTACCGGACCTGTAACATTTCACCAAAAGTCATCCGTCATCGTATGCAGGTCTTAGCTACTTGAGCAACATTGCATTATTATCATAATAATAACTTGGTGGACCAAAGTGAGTTAGCAAGTTTTTGTGAAAAGCATACCTTTAATGTGACGAGAAGAGTGACTGTTTCCACTGAGTAGTAGCCTCTATCCACGTAATCCCCCATGAACAGGTAGTTGGTGTCAGGAGATTTCCCCCCAATCTTGAAGAGTTCCATGAGGTCATGGAACTGCCCATGAACATCCCCGCAAACTGTGACTGGACATCGCACTTTTTGCACATTTGATTCCTTGGTGAGGATTTCCTTGGCCTGAAAAAAAATTACAATATGTACAATTAGGTAGATCATTACCAAAAAGCCCTGTCCTACCAGTGAAATCGTTTCATCAGATAGCTAACATTAGCTTTGCGCAGCCAGAAATATTGATTGGTTTGAAGGGCGTCTTGAATAAGTACGTTAGCTGTGGTTAGTCATCTTGGTGTTAATCATCTGGATCGTTTAGTCATTCTATGTAGGCTTCAGTTTGGCTAGCTGAATGGTTAGGCCCAATTCACGCTAACCTAGCTAACGCGAGTTAGCTAGCTAAATTGTTACCAAGAATGCTTTGAAGCTAGCTAGCTGGCTACTACTGGTAGTTGGCTATGCTAGCTATCTATTGTTAGCTAACGTTAAACTAGCCAACTAATCTCGAACAATAATTTCAGCTCTAATCTAACAAATTGGGTTTAGTTACCTTCTCACAGAGACTCCTGACTTGATTCTCAGTAAGTTGTTTGCACTCATTTAGTTGTTCGATCCATTGGTCTAATTCCTTCGTAAAAGATTTGTCTTCCATGACAGCCGTGATATCAATCGACGTCTTGATCTACCAAAAAATATATTAGCTAGGTTGACTAGCTAACGTTAGCTAGCTAGCTACCGTTAGTGTAGAATGACTATTGTTAGCTGCTCCTGTCCCGCCAAAGTGATGACTCTAAAATTCAGAACTAATGACCTAACTATCTACGTTCTAATCATTGTAAAATATATAAAACCAAAGTGTCTCGTAAACAGGCGAACAGAGTATTAATTGAGGGGAATCAGAGTGGATTAAAATCCCTCGGTGCGGCAGAATCTGACGGGCGACGAAGCGCTGTAACTAGCTGGCCTACAACAATAACATACGGGGTATTAAGGGAGTGTTTTTATGACACCATTTATTACACACGAGCCACCTTGTGGTGAAAGAGACTAATCACACTCACAGGGCAATAAACGAGAAGAGTGTAATTGCAGACCGCAATTCGGGGCGTTTTCTGAAATGGGCATTTCTTGATGTCAAGTTACACCCATTGATGCTCGCCATTGGTCCTTGGCCGTTTCTTTTAATTACATGTCTTTTTACCAACGAAGAAGAAAGCTGCAATCAGAATAGATTTAGACAATGTCGGTAATTCTCAACATGTTCAATAACACACTACCTACCCAATTTTAAACATAAATCGGATAGCTACAGATAACTAGGAAGCTGTTATGTTAGAAACTAGCTAGCTAATTGATATTGACATTGAACATTCCCGAAGAGTACAAGTCACAAGCTTTCAAGCTAGCATAACAAATGCCAGGATGCTGTAGTAGTTGCTAGCCAGTTCCAGTTAGTCAGCTGATGTACGCTATAACTTATAAACCGGTTTCAACTGTAGCTAATTAGATGAAGTTGTAGCTAATTAGACTGTATTTTATATTCGCTACAAGTTAAACTTATGAAATACTAAGGTATTCTGACAGTGCTTTGATATGTGCGTATAGTGATAATGTTTCCATCCCTCACTCAGCAGCATGTTATCGTACTAAAGTTGGGCACAGATCACTGAAGCTGTGCCGTGCCGAAACACACCCCTTTTGTGTGAAGAAATTGTCAGCAGACTATCCAACTATTGTGACTCATTTACAGAGTCACAATAAAACACGGGTTTACAGAATTTGTGTAGGTGGTTATGATGATGTGTAAAACTATTTTAAAATCTGGGATTGGTACTATCAATTTGTGGACGTTTCCACTTCACAATAACAGCACTTACAGTTGACCGGGGAAGCTCTAGCAGGGCAGAAACTTTACAAACTGACTTGTTGGAAAGGGTGGCATCCTATGACTGTGCCACGTTGAAAGTCACTGAGATCTTCAGTAAGGCCATTCTACTGCCAGTGTTTGTCTATGGAGATTGCATGGCTGTGTGCTCGATTTTATACACCTGTCAGCAACGGGTGTGGCTGAAAAAGCCAAATCCACTATTTTGAAGGGGTGTCCACATACTTTTGTATATATAGTGTAACACACGGTCACACACACCCTAGCCAGTCAGTAAATAATCTTTGAACAAGTAAGCCTTGTCCGAGCCAGAACAGCCAATAGGGGCAGGAGCCTATGAGTGCCAAGCTGAGGCATTACATCCCATTTTTTTTGTCTTTGGTATGACTCAACCGGGGATCGAACCCCCAACCTTCCAGACGCAGGGCTGACACTCTAACCACAAGGCCAACAACCAGGTGTGTGTGATCCTGTACAGAGATGGAGAAGTCAACCAGGTGAGACTTCTTCTGTCTATCTAACGGTTACATTAAAGTCATCATCGTCGACATGGATGTAGATTAAGGCAGCCCTCCGCACCTCTCTGATTCAGAGGGGTTGGGTTAAATGTGGAAGACACATTTCAGTTGAATGCATTCAGTTGTACAACCGACTTTCCCTTTCCTCCTCTTATCCAATCAGGGCCAGATCTTGGAGTCTTTCTACATGGCGACCCTGTGGAAGCTGCCGTGTATCTTCATCTGTGAGAACAAGTTAGGCATGGAGACGTCTGTAGAGAAGTCCTCTGCTAGCGCTGAGTACTTCAAGAGAGGAGACTATATTCCTGGAATCAAGGTAGGACACACACACACATAGAGTCAGTGAGTGTACAGTCTCTCTGGTATATTGACCTTCCTGTCTCTAGGTGTAGGTGGATGGCATGGATGTTCTGTGTGTGAGTGAGGTTCGCTTCAGACCACTGCAGAGCTGGGAAGGTGAGCTATGATTGGTTGTAGAACTGGAGAAGAGAAGTTCTGATTGGTGCAGAGAAGAGAAAGTTATAACTGGTTTAAGAGCTTGAAGAGTGGTAGTCCTTTACACTCGTAGCCGTATACGGGTGGAAAATTGCAGATTTGGGCAAGTGCCTAAATTGGACCACAGCAGCTAGTAACTATATTGCTATAAATGACATCAGAGCTCATGCTCTGCGCTTCGAAACACTGTATGGGTTTTGACTGACAGCCCGTCTGAACTTGAGCATCGCACACGACTGTCACGCCCTGGCTCTAGGGACTCTTTTAAGTTGAGCCATGGTGTGTAGAGTTTATGTTTTGTGCTCGTTGTGTCTAGTCTAGTTTTTGTATATCTATGTTGGCCAGAGTGGTTCTCAATCAGAGGCAACGAGTATCAGCTGTTGCTGGTTGTCTCTGATTGGGAACCATATTTAGTCAGGTGGTTTTCCCACAGTGTTTGTGGGATCTTGTTCCTGTGTAGGTTTGTGTTTTGCACCTTTGGACGTCACGTCTCGATTTTGTTCGTGTAATCATAAATAAAAGCATGTTCGCAAATAACGCTGCGCATTGGTCCTCTGTATCCGACGATCGTGACAGAAGATCCCACCAATACAGGACCAAGCAGCGTGCCCAGGCAGGAGAGGAGAAGCGGCGCCAACCAATAAATTTTTAGGGGGGGGCACATGGCAGGGACGACGGGGCCACTGGAGGCAGATAAGGGGCGAGTTGGTGGACGAGGAGAGAAGGCCACCGGGTTACGGGAGCCATTGGTGTATAGAGGGAAGGAAAATGTAGAGGCACGGCGAGAGGTACTGAAGTGTGTTGCCAGTCCGGTCCGGCCCGTTCCTGATCCCCGTGTAAAGCCAGTGGTGTGTGTTCCCAGTACGGTCCGGCCTGTTCCTGTCCATCGCGCCAAGCCTATGGTGCGCGTCGCCAGCCCGGCCCGGCCTGTTCCTGCCCCTCGCACCAAGCCTATGGTGCGCGTCACCAGCCCGGCCCGGCCTGTTCCTGCTCCCCGCATCAAGCAAATGGTGCGCGTCGCCAGCCCAGCCCGGCCCGTTCCTGCTCCCCGCACCAAACCTGTGGTGCGCATCGCCAGCCCGGCCCGGCCTGTTCCTGCTCCCCGCACCAAGCTAGTGGTGCGCGTCGCCAGCCTGGTCCGGCCTGTTCCTGCTCCCCGCACCAAACCTGTGGTGTGCATCGCCAGCCCGTGCCCGTTTCACCAGTGCCTGGTCAGGTACCGGTCAGCTGCTCCACACCGGAGCCTGAGCAATCCGCTCCACCGAAGTCCAGTTCAGCTCCAGCCAGTGGGGCTAGACCAGACCAGGGGCACTACGGGGGGGGTTAGTAGAGGGTGGTGGTCAAGCCCGGAGCCGGAACCGCCTCCGAGGAGGAATGCCCACCCAGCCCTCCCCTGTTCAGTGATGTTTAGGCGCAGTCGCAGTCTGCGCCTTTAGGGGGGGGTACTGTCACGCCCTGGCTCTAGGGACTCTTTTAAGTTGAGCCAGGGTGTGTAGAGTTTATGTTTTGTGCTCGTTGTGTCTAGTCTAGTTGTTGTATATCTATGTTGGCCAGAGTGGTTCTCAATCAGAGGCAACGAGTATCAGCTACTGCTGGTTGTCTCTGATTGGGAACCATATTTAGTCAGATGGTTTTCCCACAGTGTTTGTGGGATCTTGTTCCTGTGTAGGTTTGTGTTTTGCACCTTTGGACGTCACGTCTCGATTTTGTTCGTTTAATCATAAATAAAAGCATGTTCGCAAATAACGCTGCGCATTGGTCCTCTGTATCCGACGATCGTGACAACGACAAGAAGTTGCCCCCATCCCACCCACTAATTGGGCAATTTTTGCACAAAAAAATGTGTCTGAGTGAGGGAAATGCTGTTATTTAAGAGGACTCGTGTATTTTTAAAGATGAGACTATAATAAATAATTTAATGTCATACAAGCAAACCAAACACCCATGAGTCCAAATATGTACTTAACATTTCCATATCATAAAACTCATGTCATATACAGTGTCAATGTTTATGATCACTATGTTTGATGTACAGTTACAAGATAATAATAAATAATATGCCATTTAGCAGACGCTTCTATCCAAAGCGACTTACAGTCGTGCGTGCATACATTTTTGTGTATGGGTGGTCCCGGGGATCGAACCCACTACCTTGGCGTTACAAGCGCCGTGCTCTACCAGCTGAGCTACAGAGGACCACAAAGATGACATGTGTCATACCCTGGGTTGTTCTGAACAGAATTAGCCTATGTTTGTCTAATGTTAAGAACATTTGTGCGGAACACGCACCTGAATGCACTCATGACTCCTTTCTATGCGCACCAAAAATTACGATCTGTTTCTCTGAATTGCCTTGTGAAAACCTAGCACTGTAAGATATAGATTTTTTGATTTGATTTATTAGGATCCCCATTAGCCGACGCCAATGGCGACAGCTAGTCTTACTGGGGTCCGACATTAAATGAAAAAATATATTACAGACAAAATACTTTACAATTTACAGATCGTATTTTATTACTTAGCTAGTCATGTTGGCAATAGAACAATCTTTCAAATGATGCCCACCTGACCCAGATCGCGATTTATAATGGGCCGTTTTAAGATTGCGTAAACAAACAGTAATTATGTGATGCAGGGTTATGTTCCAACGGCACACATAGGAGAGCTCAAAAAAGCACCTTACAGTTGAAGACTTTTCTTTGAGTCATAAAAGTGCATTGAAATTACTTAGAAACGGAACACTTTGGAGAGGTG